AGTGAGACGAGTGAGAGTGAGACGAGTGAGAGTGAGACGAGTGAGAGAGTGAGTGAGAGTGAGAGTGAGAGAGTGAGAGGGAGAGAGGGAGTGAGTGAGGGAGTGAGTGAGGGTGAGTGAGGAAGTGAGTGACGGGTTGAGTGAGCGGGTGAGTGAGCGGGCGTGCGGGCGGGCCTGCGGGCGTGCGGGCGGGCGCGCGGGCGTGCCTGCGCACCTGCCTGCCTGCGTGCCCGCATGCCTGCGTGCCTGCGTGCCTGCTCCGTGCCTGCCTGCGTGCCTCCTGCGGGCGGGCGGGCAGGCATGCGTGCGTGTGAGTGAGAGTGAGTGAGTGTGGATGAGAGTGAGTGTGAGTGAGTGTGAGTGTGAGTGTCAGTGGGAGTGAGTGCGCAGTGGGAGTGAGTGTGAGTGTGAATGTGAATGTGAATGTGAGTGTGAGTGAAGTGCGAGTGCGAGCGCACGAAGCGTTCACAAAGTGCTGCGCCTGCCACGAAATCTGCACTTCGAGGTTCACAGTACTGCGCCTGCCACGAAATCTGCCCTTGGAGGTTCACCAAGTGCTGTGCCTGCCACGAAATCTGCACTTCGAGGTTCACCAAGTGCTGTGCCTGCCACGAAATCTGCACTTCGAGGTTCACCAAATGCTGTGCCTGCCACGAAATCTGCACTTCGAGGTTCACCAAGTGCTGTACCTGCAACGAAATCGGCACTTTGAGGTTCACCAAGTGCCGTGCCTGCCGCGAAATCTGCACTTCGAGGTTCACACAGTGCTGCACCTGCCACGAAATCTGCACATCGAGGGTCACAGAGTGCTGTGCCTGCCACGAAATCTGCAAACGAGCCACATGTCCAAAAGTCACGATTCACTGCACCTGTCACGAAATCTGAGCTCCTCGATGATCACCACCATGTCCAAAGTGCTGCACCTGCCACGAAAATTGCATTTCGAAGTAAAACAGCTCCGATCCCTCGCGCCTGTCACGAAAAGTCAACTTTGGAGCACCAAAACACGAGGTTTCCCTTGCGCCTGCCACGAAAAGTAACCACTATGTGCGAAAATGCACACAGCCGGCGCTGTCGAAATGCACTTGGAGGAGTTCGAGAGGCATGAATGTACTGTATATAAATAGCAGCGAATTAGCCGGACACGCCCGCGCGGCACACCGATCTAAGCACAGCTGCTGTTCTATTACTGTAAGAACACCTAGTGTGTCCACACTGCTTGGGGAAAAAACATATGTTTGAAATGGTAACGGCAACGGCACCACAGCAAGACTAAAGGTGACAAACGACACCACGCATGCCACCCCTCAAGTGCCAATGAACGTGTGCAAATGATTGTATATAGATGATTATAAATGCATCGCAAAGAACTGCTTCAGAGTTCGCATGCAAGAAGTGGCGGCACAGTCTCTGTGCATCTGGCGCGCGCATCAAGAGCTGACACCTTTTGCATTCTAAATGCAGGTCGACGCGTTCTTCGCATCAGAAGAGGTCAATCCTCAAGGGCAACTCGCATGATGACTTGGTCCATCATGTTTGAAAGCTCTGTCTTTGCGCGCAAAACTGTCTAAGCGGCAATGAATGCATACTGTGCACACATGGACAACAAAGGCCTTTGGCGGCAGCCAAAGTTGATGTTCAACTTAGAAGCCCTGTGTCTCCTCAAAGGGGACGGAAGTCTTCTGGATGGCTTCCATGACATATTGCCTGTTCATGTCCTTTTCTGCTTCACTCATTTCATCTTCCTGAAATTGCTGCATGGTTTTCTTCAAGCGGATCTGCCGATCAAGTTCCAAGCGATACCTGCAGTTTTTCATCTTTTCAGCATGTAGTCGCTGTTGTTCAGCCACTCGATGCTCTTTTGCTGCGGCCTCCACTGCTTTTAAGCGGTCTTTTTCTTCTTCAAGGATGACCTTCTTCTTTTCTTCCCTCTCAGCGATCTGTTGAAAAAGGTAGGCCTGATCCAGGTTTGGTCTGGTGGTTTCCAACCAAACTCATCCAACAATGCAAATCGAAAGGAACAAGCCAACTTTGACAAAACAAGCCGTAACAAGCCTTCAGGTTTTTTCATGGTCTTGTGGGCAAATCAACCATGTTCAAAATTATGCCAGCATAGACCCCAAACAGCTTAATCGGCAGGAATGTTGTTGTGGTGGTGGGCGGCCGCAGCAGCAGCCCCTGCCTTGGACAGCAACGTAAACAGCAAGACAACAGAAAGACCAAAGGAGGACATGAGGAAGACAACAGAGGACAAAAGGAATATGGGGAAGGAAAACAATATTAACACACCAAGAAGACAAAAGAAGGCCAAGCTGTGACCGGACAACGCCAAAAGGACAAGAGGACAACATGAGGGGAGCACCCCAAGAGGAGAACGGAGAACAAGATGAACAAGACCAGAAGAGGAAGAGAGGACCAGAGAAGCACAGCAACCTGGTGGGAGGACTACAGCCGGAGAAATGCTGGCAGCCACAACCAATGCACAGCTGAAGAAGGACAACAAGAAGGCAATAGAAGAACATGAGGAGCACAGGATCGAAAAGATTGTCACATGGGGAGATGAGGAAAACATCCGGACAGGGCTCGCCGGGACGGCCTGACACTGTGGCCATTGCAAGAAGAGGACAGCAGGAGGACAAGGGGAGGACATCCGCTGGGGTTGCTTTGTGGAGTTGCCTTTCAAAAGGAGGACACGCCGGATCCACTGTGCCAAGGAAGAGAAGAGAAGGACAGGAGAACAAAACGAGGACACGAGAAGAACAAGAGGAGGACAGGAGGACCAGAGGAAGACAAGAAGAAGACCAGAGGAGGACACAGGGCTGGCCAGCGCGACCAGAGGACAATAGCAGGGCAAGAGGAGGACAAGACCAGGACACAGAGCCCGGACACAGAGTTCAGGGGCACGGCCAGCCAGTGTGGCCAGCGCGTTTTTCCTAAGGGAGAACAACAGTAAACTGTTTGGAGAAAAAATCCTGGCCTGATTCATCTGCCGTTCTGTCCTCTGTCGTTCTTCTTTCTCTTTATCGACTTGCTCCTCTCGTGCCAGGGCCTCGTTGCGAATCCTCATCACTGTGTCAGGGTCGTAGTAGAGCTCCACACCTTTTCGCGCTGCTTGGGGTGGAGCTGCCGGGTTTTGATCACGGATCCGTGGCTTTGATTCTTGACTCCTGGCCTCCTGCCTCTCCAAGAGCAACGAATACTCAGCCAAAGCTTGCTTCTCTTCTTGGATTCGTAATTGGCGAGCCTCCTTTGGCCCCTTCTTGGCTCTGATGTCCTGAAGCAACACTGACTGCGCTACTTGCGAGGCATGCTTTCTTTCTTCCACAGCTTGCCGCTCAAGCTCCATCTCTTTCGCAGCCCGCAAAATAAGCCTCCGATCTTCGCTGGACCTTCTTTTTCGCTCAACTTCTTTTGAGCGAAGCACTTCTTCTGTGTTGGCCTTTCGATCGCGGACCACCTGCTTCATTTTCTCCTTGCGTTCTTCAGCCAGTTTCTTCTGGTCCTGCTTCCAACGCTCTAAGTCTGCGGTCTGTGACTCGAAGAACTTCATCTCATCTTCGGCATCTTTCTTCTGTCTGAGAGTCTTTTGTTCAACTTGTTCTTGAAGACATGCTCTCATCTGCTGCTGAGCCTTTCGCTGGGCTTCTCTTTTCTGCGCGTCTTCTAACTGTGCTGCTTTGGTGGCGAGCTTAGCTAGATTAGACCAACGAAGCACCTCATCCTCTGGCACTCTTGGCATCTTGTCACCTTCCTCTGGAAGTGCAAGTGGAACAAGTGCATCATAAGCACAGCTCCGAGGTGACTCTACAAAGCTACTTCGAGATCTTTCGGTCCTTGCTGAATAACTGCTCACAGAGCCACAGGCGCTGCGCCCTCCCTGACCCAGCTTCGCTTGGACTCTGCGCTGCAAGCGACTCAAATTGGAATCTGACACTCGCCCCCTCTGCAGGAAGTGATCAACCTCCTCCTCTACAATGTTGGGTTTTGCACCTTGACAACCCAAGCATCGGTCGAGACCATCTAGAAGTGTGCCTCTCACCTCCTCTTTGGTCTTGCCGTTCTGCAACACATCTTGTGAGCATAGAGGAAGTGGGACAGCCGGCAAGCTCGCCATAGTCTACACTCATTCAACTTATATTCTCACTGAAGCCACAAAGAGCGATAAAAAACACACACAAACCTCCAATCAATGGTGAACGCGGCAAACTTTGTTCCAATCTTCGACTCACAAAACAAGCTGGACGAACACACCACGCGACCACGCGGCTGAGTCCCAATGCTTGCCACCTTCAAGCTCATCACCATTTGGAGCAGCTCCTGGTTCAGGCCTCAAATGAACAAATCAATCGTTAGTCAAGGGTCCGACAAACACAGGTGACGTCGTCGAATGCGGGACTGAAGGGAAACAACTCTCTGCACTTCTGAAGCTCTGTGCCTCGACGTCGACATGAAAGTTATCAAATCAACTGCTGGTGCGCTTCTTATATATATATATGTGCACATAACATAGGGATATAGCATAGAGGATGTCGTATATAGTTGTATGCATAAATATATATATATATGTTTTTGTATATAGTTCGGTAGTTAGTTCGGTAGAGTAGAAGAAGGCCCATACAATTCTGTCAGATTAAGAGCTGATGATATCCGATGGCTTGTGCTACAAGCACGCACGTTTAACAAGGGCTATAAATCAAAGTGAATCACATACAGTACATGGGGAGGTCAGTCCAGCATTTCAATTCCAATCTTCAACATGCCGTTTGACCACCTCACCATGACGGTCCTGCATTCATCCGTCCCTGCTTGGTGCCAGGCACGCTGCAGAGCCCGGGCAAGGCAACGTCAGTGGCCAGTCGTCCTCCAGTCAGGACGAGCACGGTGAAGGAAACAAAGCAAGTCTATTCTTTCTGTGCTCCTTTGTCTGGTCATGTTTCCTTCGCTTTTTTTATTCCAATTTCAATTATATATTTGCTTCTTTAGACCTTTGGACCTTTTCTTTTCCCTTTTCTTTTCTATGTTCCTTTGGTTGGTCAGCTTCTTCCACGTCCTGACTTGAGACCTGAACCTGCCCACTCGTAAGCAATATGCCAAGCACCAGCTTGCAAGCCCTGCCAGAATCGGCTGAGATGGGGCCGTCCCGAAGCGTGAACGCGCGAAGCCTTGAGCTCGAGGCAGCTTTCTCCTCAATGGCCTGTCGATCGGTTAGATAAAGCACGACGAACCATGTGCCCATCGAATGGCCGGAGTCGTTCACTGCTTGTGATACATTGATTTCAATTCTTCAGACTGGCCTGTTGCACCGCGTGGAAGAGACGCCGGTGATCGGACTGCTCCACTTTGAGAGGCGTCCTTCACAAAGAGCAAAGGCCGGTTTTGGTGAACATGGTCTCTGCTTCTAAATGCTTCTAGCGGCTTATCGGTGTGCGTGAAGTATTGAGAGATGATCGAATTCACGTGTGTTTCATGCCCCCTCAGGCAGTTGTCATTTTTGGAGTTTCGTTTGTGGTGGTTTGGAGCACACACACACACACACATATATATATATATATATATCACAGTCGTATGCTCAACCAATTCTCCGTCAGATCTACACTCCTCGCCCTACCACAGCCAACTCCATCTTCCCACCTCGGCCGTGCCCATGGATAAAGCTCTGCCACCTCACATAGAGGAAAATCAAACCCTCTCACTGATCAGATCAACCGATTAGGAGCAATTTTCAGGACAAGCCTGAGGTGCAGGGCATACAGGAATGGCAGCTGTTGGATCAAGTCTGGACAACTTCCATCGTAAACAAGGCCAAAGAATGAACTCCTGAAGGCATGTTTCATCAGGTGTCATTGGCATGCATGTTGAGCTACAGTACATTGGGCACGCTTCCCGAGTCACTTCTCAGCCGCGCGACTGTGGAGGACCAAAGCTTCAAGCGTGCACCTGAAGACCCTGCTCCACAGATCCAGAAGCAGTGCACCGGGACCTGCATCAAGTCTGTGTCAGGAGCGTTAACCTCAAGCATCTTGAAGGGACATGAAGGGACAATAGCGATGTTTCTCAACAAAATACTGTAAGTACACGAGCATTCAATTGTTCTTTTCCAGACCTCTCTGCTTGTATGAAAGTGCGAACCTATCAAGGTATCTATCGGCCATTTGGCATCATTTCAATTGTGCTTCGCTTTAGCCCCTCTCCTGCAAGGCCTGCGCCTTCAAGTGCCATGCCATCATCTCTCGATCCACCAAGGACGGAGTCGGGCAAAGTGAAAGGCCTGTCTACTGGCGTCAGGATGAACTGCTCAACAAGACCTTCAGCCTTTCCCAATTGTCGTTCCCGCGGAAAACGATACTTGTGCTAGAGCCCAGAAAAGCTTTCCTGACTCCCACTAGGTTTACTACCTTTACTAGCTGTAGTGGCAAGAATGAACATGACCCGGCCGCGGTCACACAGTAGACCCCCGAAAAGACTTGCATGGACCCTGGCCATGCGGATTTCAACCAAGTCCAACTTTCCAACCCTTTAGAAATTGAAATAATACGCGCACTGGTTGGTTGAGAAATATCCAACCAGCTAAGGATTGGTTTTCTGGAAATTCAGGGGTTTCATGACGTGACAGACTTGACTTTTAGTGGACCTCGTAGAATGCAAAAACGAACGTCTCGCATACTCTGAGAGAGAGGAATGCGGGGTGCACCGTATGGATACTCAAGTCATGGTTGCCAGCATTGCCTGGCCGAATGGGTGGCTTCATGGCTTCCAGGTAGACTTCAACGGTCCAAGCGTGGACCGTAGAGTCGAAGCAACAACAAACATCACCACCTCCAGCAGCGAGCACCACAGCTATCACACCTGCCATGCCAGTCTGCTCAACGTTGATACTGACCTCTGTAAGCCTCCCTAGTGATCGAATGTGCCCTTTCACATACGCCGAAAAGATCAAGTGGCCTTCAAGTGGCATTTTCGCAGCTTGCCGCAAGGAAAGTCGCTCCAGGGCCTCACCAAGCCGCAAACGACCCTTCCCTCCTCGGACCTTTAAACCTCAACTCAGTGCATGGCACTCTGAATAGCTCCCGATGCAGCACCTCAAGCATGTTTGAATTGCAACATGTTTGGTCCGCAGTCTTTGGGCAAGGAAAGCTGTGCCTGGGGTACTCAAAGCAGCTCCAACATCTGCGAGCAATGGGCCCTGTGGCACGACTCTGGTTACTACTTCCCTTTGTGGACATTTCTTGACAAATCTTTCTGTGTTTGCGTGTGCGTAACGCAACCTCTGACCACTCCTCAATGGTAGAAGGCTGTGCTGCAACTGGCCACATTTCCACTAGACTTGACCATCCTCCTCCTGTGGGCTTCACAGAACGCCTCTTCCTGCTTGGCACTTGGTGAATGGAACTGAGGGGTGCGATGGGTGCACGTCAGTTTTGCGGCCTCTCCGGCACGAGAGCCGCGATAGAGCAACAGGCAAACCTTGGCACACTGACATGGCAACGAACCAAACCTAAGGTTGGCGTTGAAGAAAATATGTACAACCACTGACCCTCCGAGAAGAACTGTTTGACAGTTTTATGGTAAAGGCTTTGACCTCTCTGGGCATAGCTCTCCTGCTGCCCCTACATGTTAAATGTTGATTTGCAAGCGGCCACAGGCAGGGTTTTAAGGCCGATGCATCTCTCCTCTCAGATGCTAGCAAGCGGTCTCAGATTGACATTTGCATGACTCGATGACATGTCAAGCCAATAGAGAGGCTTGAAAGAAGGAAGGTTCAGAACCTCACTTTGTATCTTCTTGTGTTCCTAGTTTGTGGCTACTTGAATCATTGAACACGTGCCCGTCACACTGCTAGCTATGTAATACCATCATCTCACGGAATGGAAGCTCACTTGCAGAAACAGCTTCTACAGTAGTTCAAGCTTCCGACAGCTGATTGCCATTGCCAACGCCCCAAGCTTCCCTTCACTGGGTCCTCTAGCAACAAAAGGACAACCATCAGCCACCTCCGCGGCCATAATACAACCACCACATGATCAAGAACTTAAGCCCATCCCAAAGGCATCTTCAGCATCCGAAACCTTAAGTTTGAGCTGCTGTTTCTTTTTCAGGTTTTGTTTGGGCGTTTGGACTTTCCTTTGCATTTTGTGGGTCCTGGTGCCCCATCTTCGGCCAAGACCAGCCGGTCGGGGATGAAGATACTCCCTTCACGCGCTTCAACTTCAGCAAGTCCTCGGGAACGTCCGCGGTCACAGGGGGATCCATTTGCATTTGGCTTCCGGAAACGCCGTGCACGCCGTACACCCACCGTCCCCTTCAAATCAAGATATGTCAATGAACTTCCAGGACTTCCATGACCCCACGTCATCCATCGTCATCCAGCCAATCTCCCGACCTTCACCGAAATAGCCGTGTTCTCCGCTGGATCGTCGTCTGGCCAGGGACGCACCTTGGCAGGCAATCAGCAGGGCAAACCATGTAACCTCCGAACGAATAGAGTGGGCGTACCACCAACTGCACCCTCAAAATCCATGAGATGCGTGCAACATTTGCGGGCAGACCATATCCGGGGCCCTTTTCAATTTCAATGCTCCTGGACAGGTGCAGAGTATGACAGCGGTCAGTGCAATGGGGTGGAACTGTTTCATTTGGCCAACAAGTTTGCCAAACATTTTCCACTTACTCTTTGATATCTTCTCTGTTCAGCTGCAGCTATCAAGATGAACATAGCTGGATGCGATTCATGAGATCCTGAAGTTTGCAGTTGGGTGAGTGTGCCACGGTTCGTCATTTACTCAGCCAGTGGCTATCTGAAGCACAAGCACAAGGACATGTTTCAATGACGAAGGGAGGGACGACAATAGTTTGTTTCCTTGGGAGGTGTGGTTGCCTTTGCATATCTCATGTACATCCTTGTCCAGGGTGCCGCAGGTATTCACCATCGAAAGGCAAACGACGTCTGAGGTGGGCACATAGTCCAGCCACGCAGCTTTGCAAGCAATCCATGGCCGCATTGCAATAGCCCGGCCATCCCGTGTTAGATACTTTTAGTGGGGATGGTCGGAACGTTCCAGCTGCTGATGCCTCTGATTGCATCTGATGCTGAAGGGAGTGGTCAAGACTGGGACCCCCAAACCCGTGTGACAGCAGGGAAAACAAGACTAAGTCCAGGTTTTCCAAGCGAAACGTGACAACATGCATTATTATCGTGCCTCTTTGAGGACGAACAATGACTTCTGTGTATCAATTGGCATGGAAATTCACCCTGAAAGTAGAAGCAGGTTTTGTGGAGAACACGCCAACAAGTCCCCCCCGCCCTTTCTCTCTCTCTCTCTCTCAAATGACACTGAAGCTGTGCTTGCACTGCTCTGAGTTTGCGACGCCTATGACAGGCCGATTGCTCCTCCTCTTCTTCATCCTCCTGGCCTCAAAGAATCTCAAAGACAACTGTATATTCCGCAGCTAGTGTGCTTTCAGGAGGTTAGGGATCGCAGGAATGATAAAGCAAACAAATCGGAAATTGGATTGAGGCAACTTCATCGTTAATCACACATACTGGTACCAATTGCAACGTGCCAGGGTAGTTTATGCAGAAGGGCCAACCAAAAAGGGTCTCTGTGCCAATGGAAGTTCTCACACAAAAAAGGACGGGCCTCTTCTGCTAAGGTCAAGGCCACAAATGATTCCACCAGCTCCGCAGCACACTCATTGCTCAGGGGCAAATAACAAGGAAAAATCAAGAAAGCAAGAATCAAAAGAACCCTTGAATCATCGATCCAATCCAAGGGAGGTCCACCAAGTAAGTCCTCCAACCAGGCGTTCCGTCTTGTATCTACTGCTTCTTGTTCTTTTGATCAATCCAAAGCATTGCTCAACATCTTGGTGCATCTTGACTGCTTTCCGCTTCTTGTCGCAGTTCGCACTTTGTGCCACTCGGATCAAAAACGGCATTTTCCAACTCAACCCACCGCGTCTCGAACATCGAAGTGAGAGATAGAACCAGCTAGCTGGGCGGTCGCGTCTGTACCAGTTGGAGTGCTTTTTCAGCACATCAGGGGGGGCAAGCCGGAGAAAAAAGACCTGGCAGGCTCAGAAAAACCAAGTGAATTTCAGAAGCCTTGATTGACCAGTTTTGTCTCAATCAAGGTATATATGCAAACTCTTTGTTGGGGCATTGCCTCGCAAACCCATCCTTGGCACTCATCACCTCAGAAAGCTTTACAATGCGAATCTTTGCATGACCAAAAGAGGCCCAAGTGCAGAGTATCCGATCTGGGGTTGCACACATATTTGCGGTTTGAAAACTCCCGCAGGGCATCTTTGCCCCAAAATCCGGCACCTGGCGAATGACTCGTGCGGTCGGTTTGGACTTTCATAAGTTGGTGCTCCAGAAGTCACGTGGTGCGGAGCACCTTGGCACCCCTTCCTCTGAAGCAACTGTAGAAGAAAAGATGTTCTGACCTGCTGTTGGCATTCCCCATATTGTTGTTGCAATTTGGATGTCGCTGGCAACCTGCAAATTTGCATACGGAGGAGTCTAGAATCAGAGCCCGTCTAGAATGCTAGCGATGGAAAGGAAGCAACAAAAGAAACAAGCATCAACCGGGCTGCCAAGCTTGCTGTTAAATTGGCTGACCCTACCTTCACCTGAATCGCATCAAATCTATCTATATATATATATATGCACATTTGTGTACATATGTATATATGTGTATACATACATATGTATAGATATGTGTATATATATATATTATATATGTATAAAACTGTATATAGATGTGTGTGTGTGTGTGTTGATCAAGCTGCGCAGAAAGGGCTTGCTGCGTCCCTGGTTCACTCGAGCTTGTCATTCAATTGCCTGTGGTTTCACAAAACAGCAGTGCGAACCTCTGCCCATCAACATGCCAGCTGTACCAGTCCCACTCGGCCCAGTGCCACCAAAGCTCACTGCGTAGTTCCCGATCATTCGCTGGCGGGTGTGCACTAGCTCTTAAGATCGACTAAGAGATGGACAAAACAACATGGATCCAAGCGAACCCCAAAAACAAACACCCCTTTGAATCCAATGATATATAAAAATTGTGCAGAAGCATGCATGAGCTGGCCTACAACAAGCCCGAAACACTGAAACACTTGGATTTTCTTCCATCAGGCAGCGCAAGCAATGTGCAACTCTGTCCGAAAGAAAACACCCTCAGTGCAATGAAGAGTCAGTGCTGTCGCAACTGTGCTGTCAAGTCCCCACCTGAGGCCCACCGTTCACTGCAATGTTCCCTGCTGGGACGCTTTTGACAAAAGCATTTTCAGAGCCTTCCTCCTGCGCTCAGTGTCAAGCTCCCTCTGTGGGTCAGCATTTCATGGTTTGTCACCGGGACTCCATTCAAGCTCCGCTCCTCACACCTGCTTTGCCTACATTCTGACCTTGCCGGCACTCAGTCCTTCGTGTAGCAGTATGCGATCAATGGCTTCGGCCCAATCCGGTTGATGATGTCTATGGCCTGCCAAATTTGACGTCTTGACCTACACCGGCCCCGCCAGTCCATCTCACCGTCAGGTAGGGGTCCCAAATGATTCCCGCGGGCACCTCTTCAACACCACTCACTGAGAGAATCGGAATGATGGGGCCGAAAATCTCACGTTTCAGTACCTCAAGCGAGGCCGTGCTGGACAAGTCAGGGCAAAGCCGGAGCATAAGCTGTTTGCAAAGAATATCTGTGCAATGGGCTGAATGTTTGACAGTTCCCGTTGTTTTCTGTGTGTCGCATGTTGAACCCTCAAAGAACACGCTAGCGATACCGGGGTTAAGTTTCCCTAAAAATCTAGGAAAAAATTAGTGATCATTAGTGATTAATGCAAGCGCTTCTTCAAGGAAGCTCCCCCCTGCCCTCAGGCGAGGGGAGCTCGCTTCCTTGAAGAAGCGTGAGCTATCCTGCGTCCAGTTACTAGTAGCGTCCTACTAGCTAGGAGCTTACTCTTCCCTTACTTAATTACTCTAAGTAGGCCCCTACTTAATTAATCTTAATTAAGTAAGAGATTGCCAAAAATAGAAAAACACGACATCAGATTTGGCACACCTCTCGATCAAAGGAAGGTGACAGCAAACCGGTCATAGGCACTGACATCTCCTGCGACTGGTCCCCGCTGACGAATCACATAGGAGACTCGGTCTGCCATTTCTACAGCGTCTTCCCTAGTCTTTGTTGGGGGAGAGATTGCGCAAAGGATGCCAAAGACAGCCTTGTGCTAGCTATTTGCATGGATTTGTACAAACCAGGACTGAACAAAGACGTGCAAGCAAAGCTGAAAGGAAATGGAACGCAATGACATCACCTACAGGCTTGACACCAGTGGCTTTCATGCTCTGGATCAGGTTCTTGATTGCACGCTAGGAGGACTGGTGGCAACTTTTGGCGAGAACATCCGTCGCTGGGGCCCAGCTGAAGCAAGGCCACATAAGATCAGAGCGTTCAACACTTCACTTCTACCCACTGCGGCTTGAAACCCCTCTTTCTCAGCGGCCTTGTCATTGGGCTGGAAGTCCCCCTCCATGGCCGGTATCTCGGCGCAGCACAGGGAGAGTTTCAAAGGGCGAATCAAAACATTGGGTTAAACTGTTTGAGACATCCTTTGAGTCATCTCACTGCTGTAAAGTTTGCCCCAACGGTGGAGTCATCCGTCAAATTGTCTCCAGGTCATCGCCAGTTTGTCGTTCTGGCAGGTCGATTGAATCTAGGCTGCTGGCACACTGCGCGTTCGCATCATTCAGAAGGAACTTCATTGATGCATACTGCTTTTGGCCAATGAGTGGCACGTGACGCCTGGAAGCACCGCGGCTTAGACGATCCCTGTCTATCAAGATACCTGCTAATATATGTACTCAACTCAATCTCTGAAGAACTTTGGTCGCTCCACAACTCCCACGCACCAAGACCGCTATCTTCATCTTTTTCCTTGGAGCTTTCCCCGTTCCCACGCGGACTGTAGCCAACCTTTTCAGCGTTCAAAACCTCCAAGTGATTTCTGTTGATTGGTGTCAGGAAAATTCGCCCCAAGGCTAAGTCTTGGTTTGATTTCCTCAAGACTTCGGGGATGTGACTCAAGAAAACCTGAGGCGCTCGTGTACCAAACGAATTGCTTCTGGTCTGGACTGGGCTTTTGGTGCTGCCTGGTTCTTGAGCAACAAAGCATCTCAAGCACGACGGCTGGCTGCTGGCTTCACTCAGGTGGGTTCCAACGATGGTGCCCGGGAACGAGCGCGACGATGGCGGTGGCGCAGCTCACGAGCAAGTCTTGACCAGTAAGTGTCAAAGAAGCTCAGTACGAGCAGTAGAATGAAACAGCCTGGTTTGAACAGTCAATCTTCAGATTTGTTTTCAGCTGCTGTCTTGTAATTGGTCAAGGTACAGTACTACATATATAGTCACTTAGGGTGGTCATTGGGCAGCTTCAATCTCAGCAGTCAGTGAGTGAAAGCGGTAATAATGTCAAGTACCCCATCTCCCAAACAAAATAAACAAAAGAGTTTCGATACGTCCCGAAGAAATCCAGCAGGAAAAAGAGCACAGTGCAGCTGACAGCCTTGAGTGATTGCATCTGGTGTCTTGATTTGCCTTATATATCAGTTTAGGATGTTTTTAGGGCCTGAGATATAGTTGGGCCACCTCTTCTGGCCTCAAAGCTTCTTGAAAGAATGTCTCAACGATCAACCCCTGGCCTTCGGTGTTTTCCAGCAGTAGCTGCACCATCAAGCCAAAGACCAAGGCAGACTCGGTCTCCGTGTGGAAGGATTGGAGGGACAAAATGCTGCGGATGATGGTGGAGATGGCCAAGACAATAGTACATTTGGCAGCAATGACCAAAATCGCAAACTTGAGGTTGGCCAAGCCCCGTCGTTGTGAGTCACCCCTCTGCAGAAACTGGTCTTGCAAGGCTGCCGTTGGCAGCTCGCGCATTTCCAGGTTCCGACTCTCAAGGGGCAGTGACAAAGGTGACCGTGGCTCACTGCTCAATCTGGATTGCCTGGATTGCCTTGCTGGGCTCTGTTCAATCCTGCTGGTGCCTAGATGCTGATAACATGTCGGTGAGTCCGGCTCAAACTCGACCAAGTTATTGGCAGAACCAAGGTGGAACGAAACGAAGGAAGGCTGTTCTGGGGTCTCTGTGCTACGTGATGCCGTCAAGGTCTCGGCTTCACCCTTCCGACAAAGCCCGGCCAGCGTAAGGCTTGCAAGGAGAACCAGGAAGACCAAACCGACAATGACGTCAAACTTGTTGGCCTCTCCTCCATCCAGAATGCAATTCTTTTTCGTCAAAGGCTGTGGCGCCCAAATGCAAATGGGCAAAGGCGCGATCAAGGCGATCCAAAGGGTCTTATCCGCTCGGAGCCCACTTTCAAATCGCCGCAACCAATGTAGCATCAAACACACCAAGACATAGCGTTGAACTTCGCAATAATTGGACACGAACTCTCCGATAGCGCTGCATGTGGGAAACCAGCTGTCCAGCAGTAAGCCACATATCGAATGGAAAATGCATGCACCCACATACCACACGAGCATCCGGTTGGGGAATTTCCGCCACTCCGAGTCTCGCTCTTGTAGTCGGAAGCATGGAATGCACACGAGTAAACAGCCCAAGGAGAGACACAGCGCCACCAAGTCACTGATACGTAGCTGTTTATCCACCAAACCCTGCAGCATCGCAGCATCTCGCTCGCTCCCTCGTTTTCCCTAGAGGTCTTGAGGCCAGCGGGGGCTTTTCGGTCCAATAATATTACATCTATGTGACTATGTGCAGAAACGTGACGTAGACCATGCACGATCTGATTGATGGCAGTTAAAGAGCTCTGGATCTGTACAGCATTTAGGTGCATGCCCCCTCTCTTGACCCTTGACAGACTAGTTGCTATCCCATGACCCAAAACAACCTTGTTTTCTCGAGGTCGGCTGCCCAAAACCACACGGGCAACCGTTGACGACGATGGTTTGGAACGCGACTTTTCTTCAGAATCTACTATGGTCTTTGCTTCCATCTGTGCTCGTGAGCACAATGCCATGGTCATGATGTCCTCAGGTGCCCATGGTCAACTTTCCTAGCACATAGGTCGGACTGAAAAGACTTCATGCCTCTCCATGAGTTCTAGTTCTTCGCAACCCCAGTGGCTCGAGGGCAAATTTGAGCACGGCTTGTGCAGTCGAAAGAGAATCATCATACGGACGGTAGATTTTAATGGCGATTTCATCCACCAATTATATACACTTGGTTCAGATAAGATGGCATTGCTCAAACATGTGGTGGAGCCATCTACTCACTGCCACATGGCAAAGCAATGCCATCTACTCTGAACTTAGAGTAAGGGCCCCCCTGCCTCGTCCACAGTGTCAGTTCCGAGCAACACCGCCGCTGCAATGAGCATTGGAAAAGCCACCAAGATCCCAACGGACACAGCTGCTGCCACCACTTCGATGTGCTTCCCCACACGCATGGCCACCAGCATCGGGGCCTGGATTATATATTCCATAGTTAACCATACCAAAACAGATTGGTTGCCCAAACTTCACTAAATGCAACGTCCAACGAAGTAGGACATGACATGGGAGAAGCCGCACTTTGGAACAACCAAGGTGCGGATGAGGTGGGAATCAGCCCATAGAGAAAGGCAAAGCTGTGCCAGCGATTGTTGGAGCTGCCAGGGAGCAAAAGCTCTGAAGCAGCCAGGCTTACATAAGGGCACAAGAAGTTCTTGGCCACCACCAAACAGATTGGAATCGAAACAAAGTACATGCTGCCCAAATCTGATTGTTGGCTCTTTTGACCAAGGGCTGTTGCTAAGTTGGCGCCCGTCAGCAGCAAAGCCGTGACGCTAAAGGGCCTGGTAAAGAAGTCAATCATCTCTCCTGTCAAAGGCCAAGAGTCGGATCAACATCAGTTCGTAAACATGAAACCCACACCTGAAAGAAATTCTGTGGGAAACCGTGTTACCAGGAGTCTTCATGACAATATCCAGACATCCTGCCTACAATCCATGGCAACCGTTCAGCGCCATCCAGGTGTGGAGCACAAACTGTGGCCAGAAAGCTGTACAGAACCTCGACAGCCCAGAGCACTACAGGGAGATTCCACATGATTTCCATGCCTGCTGCATGTTGAATGCTGTTCTGACATGAGAGCAAAAAAACAACTCTAAAATGAAGCTGAGCTTGGAACCGCCAAAACAATGGCGCATAGTAGGGGATCTTGTGCGAGTTGCTTCACGATTCGCGAGGCTTGTCCACTACCCGTAGCCGATGTGCCCTGCAAGGTAGCTGCTGAACCATCCGCAAGCTGCGCTGCAGCTTGAGCTGTGCCAACACCCAGCATAGATAGGCTGCAGACCTGGAAAATAACATTTTGAACAACCACATTGGCCACTAGGTTGGTCATCCCATCTTTGGGATAGAATGCTTGCATGATCGGAATGCCAAAGACGAAGTCATTTGCAGCTGTCACATGAAAACTGAAGATCGCCATGGACACCAAAGCATCGCTGCGTGGCTTCTTGTGACAGGCGACCCAGGTCACAGCACAAGCGAGCAAATAAACAAATGCCTTTCCAATAAAGCAGCTGAGAACTGCAAGGAACTCCACATCGTCCAGGTCAGCAGTGGCAACAGCCTTGAAAGCGAGTAACGGAAGACCAATTCGTCCAGTAAGGAAGGCTAGGCCCTGCTTTTCTGTCACCCACTCACATCCTGAGTATCCGGGATTGTCGCCTATGCCCATGCTTGAGTTGTGATTTATGTTTTTCTATTCCAATTCTATTATAATTCTATTCTATTTTGCTATAGTATGCACTTGTGTACAAATCTCCTATTCCAATGCTTTGGCAATGCTTGGCAACAAAGGCGTGGACGAAATGCCACAAAACCAACACCCAAAGCAGAGCCCAGTTGTAGCACAGGCGTTGCAATTTTTGCCAGCAAACTGCTCATATCCACGGACCGCAAGGCCCACAAGGCATGGTGACACGTCAAGAGTTACTGGGTCACCAGTTTTTCATCTCCTCTCTGTCAGTGATCATATGCTTCGGCATGTTGTGGAGCTCTGCTGGGTTGCAGTCTTGGCCCCCCAAAACCTGCGGACGAAACGTGTGGATGTGCTCCTGTTTCGTTGTGTCTTGTCCATGTTTTGAGCCAAAGCCTTTCTTTCACGGGACCTTAGGCATATGGAAGAGGGTGGGCTGAGGAAGGCAAATCTGCAAGTAGAATCAGGATATTGGAGAATATATCCCAACAACTTGTCTACCGCTACCGGGAGTCTGTGAATCATTACCGCAAACACGGGACCTATGACCTGGTTCTGTCATATTTGGCCCATGCTATCCCTGTCATCAGCTGTGATCCTGGCTTGTCGCCCAATCCTTTCACCACCTCCTGTCCAGTGCCAGGCTCGCTGAGATTGGTTTGTTTCCTGGTGCCATGGCCAAGGTCCTACACATCCGGATTGAACATGCCCCGGTTTCATCTAGGTTGATCTTGGCCTTGGCTCTGAACACACTGAGAAGCACACGCCTGGCCTCGAACACTGCACAGAACTCCGAGAACACAGATTTGTGAACCAGCGCCTCAATCCATCCGTCTAGGAAAAGGCTTGGGACATAATGATTGTGAGAATCACTACCATTATCCTTTGGCTGGAGTACTTGCTCACACCATCACCACTTCCGCTGCAAACTGCCTGGGATGCCCACATAGTCGTGCGCGCAACAGAATTGACCACTCTTGAAGACCTGCTATCAGGACGTGTCAGAAACAAGACTCTCGTCATGTTGCTGCCAATCGACGCCCAAATCCCCAAGTTCATAATTTCAGTAGGTCACCTCCAAGAAATAATGGGAATAGTCTCTCTGAAGCCATTGGATGCCATTGGGCGGTCTGAGGGGTGTAGGTTGAGACGTTCTTGACCTGCACCGACAAGTCTGACGAGTGTTCTCTCAGAATATCTGCACCTTAGTTTCAGTGATCTCCTTGGCGATATTTCGCAGCATGTCAGAACTCAGCCTCAGTTTCGTTGAAACATGAGGGCTCGATGACTCATTGCCACATCGTCACCGTCACAAACGAGAGTCGCCAACCAACAGATCCATGTTTGTGCTGGGGGGCCTGATCCAGGCCTCTCGGTGTCCACACCCAGCATCCACAAAAGCAGGACTCTTGCCACCGAGCTCCAGGGTCAATGGCGTCAGTGTCTGGCACAAAAGATTGTTGGTGTAGTTTTTGGACCCATCCGGCTGCGCATGCTGCGCATGTCTGGCCTTGGCGCATCTGGCTGCCACCACCTTGGGAAGGCCCGGCAAGCTGTCCTTCTGGAGCTGTCCGGTCTCCGTCTGGTCACTTGAGTTTGGCTTCTGACTGAAACTTAGCTGCATTGACAATGTGGTGGTGCTGTTGGTGGGTCGTGTGACTTCCGAAGGCAACCCGATGCAACCCGGGTAATCCCCCACAAGCATCAAGAGGGGGGCTTAACCCCCATGGTGTCTGGAAGCGGCCCGTGAAACACTTTCTGGTTCTTGGAGCGTGGCCTTTGCAGTTTCGCCGCCGCCAGTGAATTCCTCGTGCACATCAAGCTGGCAAAATTAGGAACCAAGGCCTCTGCGGAAGCAAAAACCCTTTTTTACCACGTGCACTTGACCCAGCACGAAGCATTGAAAACCCATCCCCCCATTCCATTCAAAGCTCCTACAGCCAAAGCTTTCCTCAGGAAATCTGTCTTGAACCATCAGGGGGCAATCGAGATGAAACGTGTTGCAGAAATACATTATATAGTTCAGACTTGAGGCAGTGGCCAAGTGATCGGCGCCTTCGTCAATCAGGCGTTCAACTACCTGGAAGGCTTGAGAGGTGCCATATAGATGGCGGAAGAACGTCATGAAATTCATACCCGACATCCGACGATCAAGTCGAACCGAGGCCTCCTTCCCACCTTCTTCGACCCAAACGTAGCCGCTCAGATACCTCAAACAGTGAATCCCCTCACTATGACTCCCAATCGCCCGTGTCGTCGCTGTTGTCGTCGCTGTTGTTGTCGCTGTTGTTGTGTTGACAGAAGCAAAAACAGCCACCCAATGTATATAATTGTCACATGAACTTCAAGGGGTCAAGGCTAGGGATACGGTTAAAGGCTTGAGCGAATGTTGGTTTCAAGCATAGGTGGGCTTGTTGGACTTGTTTCACTGAAGTCTGGGCTGGTCCGTTTTTGATTTTTTTGAGGTGTTATTCTGGAGGGGGTCTAAAAAACTAGAACGGGGCTGCAGTCTTTGTTTCTAGGAGGGGGTAAAGAAAACAACACCTTTTGAAGGGAGGAGCAAAAAA